ATTAATTAATTAATTAATTTAAAAAAAAAACAGATTCATAGATCAAGAGAACAGAATCAATTGAGAGCCCAGAAATAAGCCCACAACATATAACTAATATTTGACAAGGGAGCCAAGAATATTCAATATGGAAAAGATAGTCTCTTCAATAAACAGTACCGTGGAAACTGGATGTTCACATGCAAATGTATGAAATTGGACCCCTATTATACACCAATCACAAAAATTAATTTTAAATGGATTAAAGCATTAAATGTTAGGCCTGAAATTGTAAAACTCCTAGAAGAAAACAGGAGAAAAACTCCTTGACATTGGTCTTGGAGATGCTTTTTTGAATGTAACACCAAAAGCATGAGCCACAAAAGCAAAAACAAACAAGTGGGACTATATCAAACTAAAAAGCTTCTGCATAGCAAAGAAATAATCAAGAGCCTTGACCAGTGTGGCTTAGTGCTTAGAGCAGTGGTTCTCAACCTGTGGGTGGTGACGCCTTTGAGGGTGGAATGACCCTTTCACACGGGTCGCCCAAGACATAACAGTAGCAAAATTACAGTTATGAAGTAGCAATGAAAATAATTGTATGGTTGGGGTCACCACAACATGAGAAACTGTATTAAACAGTCGCGACATTAGGAAGGTTGAGAACCACTGGCTTAGAGCATCGGCCTGGTCACGGGTTCGATTCCCAGTCAAGAGCACATACCTAGGTTGCAAGTTCAATCCCCAGCCACAGTCAGGGCATGTGCAGGAGGCCAATAGATGTGTCTCTCTCACATTGATGTTTCTTTCTCCCTCTCTTTCCCCCTCCTTCTACACTCTCTAAAAATCAATGGGAAATATCCTCAGGTGAGGATTAACAAAAAGAAAGAAATAGCCCTGGCCGGTTTGGCTCAGCGGTTAGAGCATCGGCCTGCGGTCTGGAGAGACCCAGGTTCAGTTCCCGCTAAGGGCACGTATCTCGGTTGCAGTTTGTCCCTGGCCCTGGTTGGGTCGTGTGGGTGGCAGCCACTCGATGTGTCCCTTTCATGTCGATGTTTCTCTCTCTCTCTCTTCCTCCCACTCTATCTAAACAAAATATCGAAAAATGTCCTCAGGTGAGGATAAAAAAAAAAAGAAAGAAAGAAATAATCAACAATATAAAAAGGTAACCTACAAGCCCTGGTCGGTTTGGCTCACCAGTTGGAGCATCAGCCCATGGACCAAAGGGTCACAGGTTTGATTCTGGTCAAGGCATGTGCCTGGGCTATAGGCTCAATCCCTAGCCCCATTAGGGGTCATGCGGGAGGCAACCAATCAATGTGTCTCTCTCACATCAATGTTCCTCTCTCTCCCTCCCTTCCTTCCACTCTCTCTAAATATCAATGGAAAAATATCCTCAGGTGAGGATTAAAAAAAAAAAAAAAGTAACCTACAAAATGGGAGAAAATATTTGCAAATCATATATTATCTGATAAGGGGTTAATAACAAAAATATACAAGGAACTCAAACAACTCAATAGTAAAAAAACAAGTTAATTTTAAAAAATGACCCAAGGACCCGAATAGATATTTTTCCAAAGAATGGCCAACAGATACATGAAAAAGTGCTCAACATCACTAATGATCAGGAAAATGTGTATCAAAACCACAATGAAGTATCACTTCACAGCTGTTAGAAGGGCTATTATCAAAAAGACAAGAGAGGCCCTGGCCAGTGTGGCTCAGTTGGGTTGAGCATCATCTCATACACCAGGAGGTCACTGGTTCAATTACTAGTCAGGGCACATAACTGGGTTTCAGGTTCAATCTCCAGTATGGGGTGTGCAGGAGGCAGCCAATCAATCTCTCACATCAATGGTTCTCTCTCTCTCTCTCTCTCTCTCTCTCTCTGGGGTGTGCAGGAGGCAGCCAATCAATCTCTCACATCAATGGTTCTCTCTCTCTCTCTCTCTCTCTCTGGGGTGTGCAGGAGGCAGCCAATTAATCTCTCACATCAATGGTTCTCTCTCTCTCTCTCTCTCTCTCTCTCTCCCTCTTCCCCCCTCTCTAAAAAATAAATAAATAAAAGCATATTAAAAAAAGATGAGATAACAAAAGTGAACCTTGCACACTGTTTGTGGGAATGTAAACTAGTAGTCTCTAGAAAACAGTATGGAAGCTCCTCAAAAAAATTAAAAATAGAACTACCATATGATCAGCAACCTCCCTTCTGAGTATATATTTGAAGAAAATAAAATCACTACTTCAAAGAGATATCTGCTCCCCTACCACAACCAGGTAGGTGATCAAGGTCAACATTAACAGTCATAAATCATGTTGATAAATAGTGCTCTTGATATGTGATGGAAATGACATTTTACCTCTGTGGTCTTCCTACCAAAAAACCTACTGCAGCATTATTTACAATAGCCAAGACACTGAAACAACCTAAGTGTCCATCAACAGATGAATGGATACAGAAAATATGGGAAATATATATAATGAAATATTATTCAGCCATTAAAAAAAAAAGAAAGAAAGAAAACCCTGCCATTTGTGACAAAGACAAATACTGTATGATCTCACTCATATGTGGACTCTAAAAAAACTGAATTCTTAGAAACAGAACAGATTGGTAGTTAGTGAAGGAGGGTGGATGGGTGAAAATGTCAAAGGGTACAAACTTCCATTTATATATGATAAATATGTTCTGGGGATGTAATGTATAGTGTGATGATTATAGTTAACAATATTATACTGCATACCTGAAAGTAGCTAAGAGAATAGATCTTAAAAGTTCTCACCACATGAAGGAAAAAGGCATACAAGTTCAGGAAGCACAGAGTCCCAAGCAATAAGAACCCAAAATGGCCCACACCAAGACACATCGTAATTAAATTGCAAAAATGAAAGACAAAGAGAGACTCAAAGGCAGCAAGAGAAAAGCAACAGGTTACCTACAAAGGAGTTCCCATAAGGCTGTCAGCTGATTTCAGAGCAGAAACACTACAGGCCTGAAGGGATTGGCATGAAATATTCAAGGTAATGAAAAGCAAGGATCTGAAACCAAAATTTCTCTATCCAACAAGGCTATCATTCAAAACAGAAAGTGAAATAAAGAGCTTCCCAGACAAAACAGGCTAAAGGAATATATACATACAAATGGCCAAGAGACATATGAAGAAATGCTCAACATCACTAATCATCAGAGAAATGCAAATTAAAACAACAATGAGATATCACCTCACACCTGCCAGAATGGCCGCCATCAACAAATCATCAAACAACAAGCGTTGGTGAGGGTGTGGAGAAAAGGGGACTCTAGTACACTGCTGGTGGGAATGCAGACTGGTGCAGCCACTGTGGAAAACAGTATGGTATTTCCTCAAAAAATTAAAATGGAACTTCCATTTGACCCAGTGATCACACTTCTAAGAATATATACTAAGAAGCCTGAAACACCAATCAGAAAAAATATATGCATCCCTATTTTCACAGCACAGCTATTTACAATAGCTAAGATCTGGAAACAGCCCAAGTGCCCAACAGTAAATGAGTGGATGAAAAAGTTGTGGTACACAATGGAATACTATGCAGCTGTAAGAAAGATTTCTTATCCTTTGAGATGACATGGAGGAACCTGAAGAGGATATGCTAATCAAAATAAGTCAGTCAGAGAAAGACAAGTACCACATGATCTCACTTGTTCATGGAATATAATAAACAAAATAAGCTGACGATCAAAATAGATCCAGAGACATGGAAGTAGGGAACAGACTGACAAACCTCAGAGGGAAGGGGGATGGGGGGAAATAAATCAAAGAACTTATATGCACATATGCATAACCCATGGACACAAACAATAGTGCGGGGAAGGCAGGAGAAGAGTGGGAGTGCGGAGGAGAGAAGTTAATGGGGGGAAAAAGGGGAACATCTGTAATACTTTCAACAATAAAGATTTTTTTTAATTTTTTTTTTTTTACTGACTTAAGGGAGAGGGAGAGGGAGAAAGAGATAGAAACATCGATGACAGAGAACATCAACTGGCCACCTCCTGCATGCCTCCCACTGGGAATTTGGCCCACAACCTGGGCATGTGCCCTGACCGAGAATCAAACTGGCAACCTCTTGGTGCATGGGTTGATGCTCAACCACCGAGCCACACCGGCTGGGCAACAATAAAAGATTTTTTTAAAATTATTTTACAAAAAAAAATGTTCTCACCACAGAATAAAAGGTAATTATATGAGGTGGTGGATGTGTTAACTAACCTTATTGTGATGATCATTTTGCAATATATTCGTATATCAAATCATCACTTTATACACCTTCAATTTACACACTGTCAATCATATCTCATAAGTCAATAAAGCTGGGAAAAAATTTTTTTTAATTTTTTAATGGTCTAGTTGACAATAAATTGAACATTCAGATGAAGTACTCAACAGAAAATTTTTTTTTTTTAATCCTTACCCGAGGACATTTTTCCATTTTTTGTTCAGACAGAGTGGGAGGGAGAGAGAGAAAGAGAGAAACATCGACGTGAAAGGGACACATCAAGTGGCTGCCACCTGCACGACCCAACCAGGGCCGGGGACAAACTGTAAACAAGGTACATGCCCTTAGCAGGAACCAAACCCAGGTCTCTCTGGACCACAGGCTGACGCCCTAACCGCTGAACCAAACCGGCCAGGGCAAGAGCAAATTTTTTAAATGGTTAAAATAGTAAATTTTATGTTACATGTATTGTATTATTACTTAAAATGAGTGTACTGGAGAGATTATATCATTCCATAACATATGCAGTTTCACTGAATCCTTGTCACTACTGGCAAGTGCTTTTCTTTACACTACTTGTGACAAAACTATATATAAACAAAGTTATTTATATAAAGATTAGCCAGGTAACACCCAGGATGAGAACAAAACCTTATCAGAATTCCTAAGTACCTCAAAAGCCTACTTCAGATTTTGAAAGAGGCCCACCAAGTTTCGTTATTATTGTTTTGTGTGTGTGTATATTGTTACCCTTTATCTGTTACCTTTGACAATCAAGACACAGCGTGGTCATGCAGGCAGGGCAATTCAAGACAGCATCACTATTTGGAACAGGCTGTTGTTGTTGACGTGGCCTCTGTATTCCAAAACCATGGTAGCTTGAACAGAAAAAGTAGGGGAGAGACACATGAAAGCCAGATCTTGATTTGGCTACTATCCAATAAAAGTAATCAGTAACCCTTAGAAAAAATGGTTGATTCTAGGAATGGGGTATACGAGATGAGTGTGGAGCACCTTGTAGTGCCAGGAAGTAAGGAAGTGCAAAGAAAAAAAAAAGAAAAACCTAAAGCAGTATGTATGCCAAAGGGGCACAGGAGCCAACTGAAAGCGCTCCCAATGGCCAAAGCTGAAACAATTAGAGCAACAAAATAAAGTGCTATTAGATTATAACCCAAAGTATATATTTTAAATTTTTTTAAATATTATATTTTTATTGATTTTTTGAGAGAAAGGAAGGGAGAGAAAGAGAGAGAAACATCAATGTGAGAAAAAAAACATTGTTAGGCTGCCTCCTGCATACCCCCCACTGGGGATCAAGCCCGAAACCCAGGCATGTGCCCTGACTGGGAATCGAACTGAGACCTCTCAGTCCATGGGACAATGCTCAATCCACTGAGCCACACCAGCTGAGCAGATTATAACCCAAAGTATAAATGAGTATTTATATGAGTCCATGCTGATATAAATGACAATAAATCAGGGAGAATAGACAAATCTCCCATACAGAAGAATTACAAAATAATTTATGAAGATACTCTCCCCTCATAACTCCCCACTCCTTAACTCTGGGCTGCACATAGTAACTTCCTTCCAAAAAATATGAGGGGGAAACGGTAACTTTCTGCCAGACAAACACTAACTCACCAGGGTGATGAAAATCACATTAACGGTCATATATCATGTTGATAGTATGTGCCCTTGATAAAATGTGATGAAAATGGCACGTTGCCTCTTTGTTCTTACTCCCAAAAACCTTTACTTCCTGTTTAGTCATAAGAAGAACATCCGACAACTTTCAATTAGAAAGGCCTCCTACAATATACAGTCATGCACCACATAACATTTTGGTCAATGATGGAACACACACACAATTGTGGTTCCCTAAGATTAAAATGGAGTTGAAAAATTCCTATCACCTAGTGACATATAGCCATGGTTACACTGTAGTGCAACATATTACTGAGCAAATGTTTGTTATGCTGATGTAAACAAACCCACTGCATTACCTGTAGTATAAAAGTACAGTGATACCTCGGTTCTCGAACATAATTCGTTCCAGGAGGACAGTCGAGAACCGAATTGTTCGAGAACCGAAGCAATGAAACCCAATAGGAAAGCGGACTCCACAAAGCGTGACTCTCTCTCTGCACTCACACTGATGACGCAAGCAAGGCGCGCTGGGCCGAATGAACGCCATTCGGCTCAACTGGGAAGTTCGAGTTCCAAATATTTGTTCGGATTCCGAGACAAAAGTTTCTCGAATCCTGATTTGGTCGAAAACTGAGGCATTCGAGAACCGAGGTATCACTGTATAGTGCATATAATTCTGTAGAGTACATAATACTTGATAATAAACAACTATGTTACTAGGTTATATATTATATATACTTTTATCATTATTTTTTAGTGTACTCTTTCTACTTACAAAAATTAAAAGTATGCTACAAAACAGTGTGCTGTGTTATGCTCACAGCAGTTTTATACATTTTGTGTTAACCAAGTCTGTTTTGTTCTTTTTTTACTTTTTTATCAAATTTATTGGGGTGGCACTGGGTAATAAAATTATATAGGTTTCAAGTGTACAAGTCCATGATACATGATCTGTATACTGCATTGTGTGCCCACCACCCAAAGTCAAATCTTCTCCAGTCACAATATATTTGACCCCTTTACTACTTGGCTCCTTCCCTCTGGTAACCACCATAATGGTGTTTGTGTCTGTGATTTTTTGTTCGTCTTATTTGTTCATTTGTTTCTTGTTTATCAAGTCTCTTGATAGCATCATTTTCTCTTGTGCTTGATTTAATCTCAGGTTGTTTTGTGAATTTAGTGTAGCCCAAGTATATGGCGTTTACAAGTTTAGAGGAGAGTTCACTAATGTCCTGGGCCTTCACATTCATTCACCACTCTCTCACTGACTCAGAGCAACTTCCAGTCCTGCAAGCAAGCTCCTTTCAGGCATGGTAAGTGCCCTATAAAAGCATACCATTTTTTGTCTTTTATACCATATATTTACTGTATCTTTTCTATGTTTAAGTATGTTTAGACACACAAATACTTACATTGTAACATAACTGTCTATAGTATTTAGCACAGTAACATGCTTTTCAAATGTGCAGCCTAGAAGCAATAGGATAGAAGGGTATAGAAAGCTATATAGGTTTGTATAAGTGCACTCTATGATGTTCGCACAATATCGCCTACTGATGCATTTCTCAGAACATATCTCAGTCATTAAAGTGGCACATGAAATAAATAAATAAAGTGGCACATGACTGCACCTGACCAGTGCTCCCCAAAACTGTTAAGGTCATCAAAACCAAGGAAAGTCTGAGAAACTGTCACAAGAAGCAGAGGCTAATGAGACAAGACAAGTAAATGTAATATGGTATCCTGGATGGGCTCCTAAAACAAAAAACAGACATTAGGTAAAAACTAAGGAAATCTGAATAAAGTATGGACTTCAGTTAACAATAAGTATCAATACTGGTTCATTAATCGTGACAAACATACCATATTAATATAAGTTGTTAATAATAGGAGAGACTGTGTGTTGTTACTGTCATCGTCGTCAGGAGTAGATATATGGAAATTTTCTGTAAATCTAAAACTATTCTAAATAATGAAGTCTATTAATTTTTTTTTTAACACACAGTAAAGCTACATTGAAAAAGCAAGCAAATCGCCCAACCAGTGTGGCTCACTGGCTGAGCATCAACCCATGCATCAAGAGGTCGCCAGTTCAATTATGGTCAGGGCACATGCCCAGGTTGTGGGCCAAATCCCCAGTGGAGGCATGCAGATGGTGGCTAATCGATGTTCTCTCTCATCAATGTTTCTATCTCTCTCTTCCTCTCTCTCTAAAATCAATAAAGAAAAAATAAATTTAAAAAAAGCAAACAGCCCTGGCCAGTTTGGCTCAGCAGTTAGAGCGCCGGCCCATAGACCTGAGAGTCCCGGGGTCAGTTCCCACTAAGGGCACATACCTCAGCAGCAGTTTGTCCCCGGCCCCGGCTGGGGTCGTGTGGGTGGCAGCCACTCAATGTCTCTCTCACATCGATGTTTCTCTCTCTCTCTTCCTCCCTCTCTCCCTCCCACTCTATCTGATAATAAATGCAAAAATGTCCTTGGGTAAAGATTTAAAAAAAAAAAAAAGAGCAAGCAAATCAGCTCTAGTGCCCAAGGATTTTTGTCTGTTTTGTTCCCTGTTGTATTTCAAGAGTCAAGAACATTGTCTGGCTAATAGTAAATGCTCAATAAATAGCTGCTGATTGAAAGAACAAACATGAATCTATTTATGAAGATGCTAAAATATAAAAGTAGATATTCTTGCCCTGGACAGATAGCTCAGTTGGTTAGAACATCCTCCTGATACACCAGGTTTTGGGGGGGGTTCCCCAGTCAAGAATCCATCAATGAAGGCATAAATAAGTAAAACATCTGATGAATGTTTCTCTTTCTCTCTCTAAAATCAATCAATAAAAACTTTTTAATAAATAAATAAAAGTATATATTCTGGCCAGTTGGCTCAGTGGCTAGAGCATTGGCCAAGAGTCACAAGTTCAATTCTGATCAAGGGCACATACCTCTGCTGCAGGTGGGTCTATGGCCCTGGTCAGGTCATGCTGGAGGAAACCAATCGATGTGTTTCTGATGTTCTTATGTTCTCTCTCTCTCTCTCTTTCTCTCCCTCCCTCCCTCCTTCCCTCCCACTTTATCTGAAGATAAATGGAAAAAGTATCCTCGGGTGAGGATTTTTTTTAAAAAGTATATATTCTTAAAGAGGGTTTACGGAGCCCTGGCCAGTGTGGCTCAATGGTTAGAGCACTGCACAAGCACCAAAGTGTTGTGGGTTCAATTACCAGTCAAGAGCACGTACTTGGTTCGCAGGTTAGATCCCCAGCCCCAGTCAGGGCATGTGCAGGAGGCAACCAATCAATTTGTCTTTCTCACATTAATGTTTCTTTCTCTCTCTCTTCCTCTCTCCCTCCCTTCCACTCTCTCTAAAAAAATCAATGGAAAAAAATATCCTCAGGTAAGGATTAACAAAAATAAGGAAGGCGGGGCTTATGGTAAACTCCTGAAAACTAAACAACAAAAGGCAAACCAATTGGGATTACCTCCTAAACTCTTTAAATGTTTGTGGAGACACCAGCCAGCGTGGCTCAGTGGATTGAGCATGGTCCCATGGACTGAGAGGTCCCGGTTCAATTCCGGGTCAGGGCACATGCCCGGGTTGCAGGCTCAATCCCCAGTACAGGACATGCAAGAAGTTTCTCTCTCACATTGATGTTCTCTCTCTTCCCTTTCTCTCTCTCTTAAAAAAAAAATCCAAAAATATTTGTGGGGAAAAAATACTGAAAATGTGTGGTATATATTTTATTCATAAATGTTTAGCAAATTTCATTATTAATTCATTCGATACTGAGTGCCAATTTACCAATGTACAAGATGCCTGGGATGCAGCACTGAACAAGATCACTGCCCTCATGGTGCTTAAAATTTAGTGAATTCATTATTTGAAACTGGTTTCTGTGGTCTTAAAAGGCAATTACCATTCAATGCAGGAATGTGAATAAGTCAATAAAAAGTTATTTCTTCTCAAAATTATATATTGATGAAAATATATTCCATCTTACTTCACTGAGAAGTTCTGTCACCAGAATCAGGAGCTAGACTGTAAGCTCCTTGACTATCTCAATACCACCCAAAGCACTTAAAATGTTCATTTCACACTGTGAGTGATCAAAAAATATTCATTAAATAAATGCAAGGAATAGTTGCAGGAAGTAGTACATGGGTGAAACCAAGAGGAAAAAAAGACAAAGTGGGAGAGTGAAGGATAAAAAGCGGTATATAAAGATCCACACAAGCCAGGCAGGTGTGGCTCAGTGGATGCAGTGTCATCCCATGGACTGAGAGGTCCTGGTTCAACTCCAGGTCAGGGCACATGCCCAGGTCATGGGCCTGATCCCCAGTGGGAGGCATGCAAGAGGTGGCCAATCGATGTTCTCACTCATTAATGTTTCTTTTCTTTTGTTTTTTCATAAATGTTTCTATCTCCCTCTCTCTTCCTCTCTTTAAAAAATTTATTTTTTTAATTTTTTTAAAAGAAGAACCACACAGCCCTGGCCGGTTTGGCTCAGCGGTTGGAGCGTCGGCCTGCGGTCCAGAGAGACCCGGGTTCGGTTCCCGCTAAGGGCACGTACCTCGGTTGCAGTTTGTCCCCGGCCCTGGTTGGTCGTGCAGGTGGCAGCCACTCGATGTGTCCCTTCACGTCGATGTTTCTCTCTCTCTCTCCTTCTCTCTCTCCCTCCCGCTCTATCTGAACAAAAAATGGAAAAATGTCCTCGGGTGACGATAAAAAAAAAAGAAAAAAAGAAGAAGAAGAACCACACAGACTTCCAGTCAAGATGGCAGCGTAGGTAAACATGGTATCGGGTCTTCCCACAACCACATCAAAGTTACAACTAAACTACAGAACAACTATCATTCAAAACCGCCTGAAATCAAGCTGAATGAAAGTCCTACAACTACGAAATTAAAGAAGCAGCCACGCCCTGGCCAGTTTGGCTCAGTGGTTGGATCTTAGGCCTGAGGTCCAGAGAGACCCGGGTTCGGTTTCCGCTAAGGACACATACCTCGGTTGCAGTTTGTCCCCTGCCCTGGTTGGGTCATGCGGGTGGCAGCCACTCAATGTGTCCCTTTCACATCGATGTTTCTCTCTCTTCCTCTCTCTCTCTCCCACTCTATCTGAACAAAAAAAAAAAAAAGGAAAAATGTCCTTGGGTGAGGCTAAAAATAAATAAATAAAAGAAGCAGCCACATCAAGACTGGTAGAAGGGCGGAGGCACGGACTGACCGGTCCCATACCCACGAGTGATGGATAAAAATCAGGAGGTACCCCTCGACTATTAAGATCCTCCCTGAGGACTGAGGGGTCCCCGTCCCACACCAGACACCCAGCTCAGGGTTCCAGTGCCAGGAGAAGAAGTCCCCATAACTTCTGGCTGGAAAAACCAGCAGGAACTGAGACCGAGGGAGGCTGAGGCAGCTGGAGCCTCAGGCAGCTCCTCTTAAAGGGCCCACACATGGGCTTACTTGGACTCGCACCCTCCAGGATCCAGCATGGGGGATACAGCTTGAAAAGCACCAGAGACATACAAGGGAAGAACTGAGTTGTTTGGCACTGGAGGGAGGGCTAGAGAGGCAGCTTTCTCCTGGACAGACATGCTGTCAGAGGCCTTTGTTCCTTTAGAGAGCCTTTCCCTAGGGCAGCAGACAGCCATCAAATCTGGGACTCCAGCAACCTGCTCACACTGTTTGTCCCACCCTGGTGATGCCCTGAGGCCCTGCCCCACCCAACTTTCAGGCCCACCCAACCTGCTGCCTGTTACTTTACCGTAGGATTGGCCTGTCTTGGATCCTGCTTCAGGTTTTCCTAAATTCTTTCAAACAAGCAGCATCTGGTCTCAGCTAGCCCCATACTTCTCATTAAGTAATACATAGAAACAAACACAGGGAGGCAGCCAAAATGAGGAGACAAAGAAACAGGTCCCAAATAAAAGAACAGAACAAAACTCCAGGAAAAGAACTAAGTGAAATGGAGATAAGCAACCTAACAGATGCAGAGTTCAAAACACTGCTTATAAGGATGCTCAATGAACTTAGTGAGGCCTCAAGAGCATAATAAAGGACCAATCAGAAATGAAGGAGGCACTAACTGAAATAAAGAATAATTTACACAGATTCAACAGTAGAGTAGGTAAAGCCAAGAAACAAACCATCGATTTGGAATATAAGGAAGCAAAAAACACCCAATCAGAACAGCAAAAAGAAAAAAGAATCCAAAAAAATGAGGCTAGTCTAAGGAGCCTCTGAGACAACTTCAAGCATGCTAACATTCGCATCTTGGGGGTGCCAGAAGGAGAAGAGCAAGAACAAGAAATTGAAAACCTGTTTGAAACAATAATGGCAGAAAACTTCCCTAACTTGGTGATGGAAATAGACCTACAAGTCCAGGAAGCACAGAGAGTCCCAGCAAGATGAAACCCAAGAGGCCCAAACCAAGATACATCATCATCAAAATGCAAAAGGTTCAAGACAAAGAAAGAATCTTAAAAGCAGCAAGAGAAAAGCAGTTAGTTACCTACAAGGGAGTTCCCATAAGGCTGTCAGCTGATTTCTCAAAAGAAACTTTGCAGGCCAAAAGGGAGTGGCAAGAAATATTCAGAGTGATGAAAACCAAGAACCTACAACCAAGATTACTCTATCCTGCAAAACTGTCATTTAGAATCGATGGACATATAAAGAGTTTCCCAGACAAGAAAAAGCTAAAAGAGTTCGTCACCACCAAACCATTATTATATGAAATGTTGAAGGGTCTTCTTGAAGAAAAAGATAAAATACATGAACAAACAAAATGTCAATGAATACATATCTATCGACAACTGAATCTACAAACAAAATGAACAAGGAGAACAGAAACATTCTCATAGATACAGAGAACATTTTGTTGGTTGCCAGATGGGAGGGGTGTTGGGGGAATGGGTGGAAAAGGTGAAGGGATTAAGAAGTACAAATTGGCCCTGGCGGGTTTGTCTCAGTGGTTGGAGCCTTGGCCTGTGGACCAAAAAGTCCCCAGTTCGGTTCCCACTAGGGGCACGTAAAAAAAAAAAGTACAGCCCTGGCCGGTTTGGCTCAGCGGTTGGAGCGTCGGCCTGCGGTCCAGAGAGACCCGGGTTCGGTTCCCGCTAAGGGCACGTACCTCGGTTGCAGTTTGTCCCCGGCCCTGGTTGGTCGTGCGGGTGGCAGCCAATTGATGTGTCCCTTCACATCGATGTTTCTCTCTCTCTCTCTCTTCCTCTCTCCCACTCCCGCTCTACCTGAACAAAAAATGGAAAAATGTCCTCGGGTGAGGATAAAAAAATAAAAAAAATAAAAAAGTACAAATTGATTGTTAGACTGACAAACCTCAAAGGAAAGGGGTGTTGGGAGGTGGGAAGAAATAGACCAAAGAACTCATATGCATATATACATAACCAATGGACACAGACAACAGTATGGGGAAAGGCAGGAGGGGGGGTGGGAGTAGGGTGGAGGGGGTCAATAGGGGAAAAAACGAGGAACATCTGTAATACATTCAACAATAAAGTTAAAAAAAATAAAAAGTTTTAGAAATTCTACAAAAATAAGACCCACACAACATTAAAATATATCTGGACTTGAAAAACAGATTCCTGGACTCTATCTTATTGAATCAAAATCTCCTAGAGTATGCCTCAAGGGACTACATTTCATCCTCTCCAGGTGTTTCTGAAGCACAGCTAGGTTAAAGAAATACTGTGTAATAGTGGCCAGTTACCTACTTTTTAGTTTTATGACAGTATCGGCCTTTATAAAATCAAATTTGAAAATACGTACAAAGTTTCTTCTTGGGATGACGAAATGGTTTGAAATTAAATAGAAGTGTGAATATACTAAACACCACTGAATTGTTCACTTTAAAATGGTTAGTTTTATGTTATGTGAACTTCACCTCAATTTTTAAAAATCCAATCTGTAAACAGTTAAAAAACAATTCAGATGCAAAACATAACATCCACTCTTCATCCACATAAACTCTTAATCTCTAATTAGTTTTAAATTGTGTCTATTTTTTTTAATTCAGCTTTGGTTCTTGAATGGAAAGACTGACTTCAACAGTTTAAATTCAAAGTTTTTTTTAAATAACTGTCTCACTGAAATTTGCTTTATTTTCAAAATATTCAGCCGTTTTTTCTCAAACTACGTTTGTTTTTTAATCCTCACCCGAGGACATTTTTCCATTTTTTGTTCAGACTGACTGGGAGGGAGAAAGAGGAAGAGAGAGAGAGAAACATCAACGTGAAAGGGACACATCGAGTGGCTGCCTCCTGCATGACCCAACCAGGGCCAGGGACAAACTGCAACCAAGGTACATGCCCTTAGCAGGAACCAAACCTGGGTCTCTCTGGACCACAGGCTGACGCTCTAACCACTGAACCAAACCAGCCAGAGCTCAAACTTCTTTTATGTCTGCATAAACATATATACATACATTCAAAATGTCAATGTAGTGAAAATTATCCTTTAATCATTTTCTCTAAAGATTCTAAATATTAAATTTAAGTTCTTACCCTCTTCTTCGTGCATCAACCCAGGCCTGATCTCTGTTATCTTTTTCAGGATCATATAGTAACTCATCATTTGTTGGAATCCGGTGTCGTTTCTTCTTTTTTTTCTTGCTCACCTGTGCTAATTTCGAAAATGTTAAGCATATGGCTAAGTATCATGTCTAAAGTTCACACCTTTTTAATACAGAATGAAGAATCCCATTTCCTAAGCTACATATTTTTTCTACTTATATTTTCCTTTAAAAAAATATTAACTAGGCCCTGGCCGATTTGGCTCAGCGGTTGGAGCGTTGGCCTGTGGACCAGAAAGTCTCGGGTTCGGTTCCCGCTAGGGGCACGTACCAAAAAAAAACATTTTTTTAAACTATTTCTCCAAGTACAAGTCTTGTCCAATTAACAAGGCATTAACATAAAGATGACAGGGGAGGCAAACTATTTTTTTCACTGAAAACTGCTTCTCAAGAGTTTAAATAATGAAAATTCCAAAAAGGCTACTCAAAGTAAGCCAAGAATAAAAACTATTTTTGACATCTAAATTCTCCACAAGTTCCCATATATAAAATGCCACTGAAATCAGAATATTTCAAAAGTGAATGAAAAAAATATATGGTCATCCACATACACTAGACTTTTAAAGTATACTTGAGCAGGTCAATATTTAATAATATATAAAATTATTTATTTACCATATAAAATGCATTATTTGTGTATTCCAGTATAATTACTCATATAATTAAATTAGTTTTAGGTCTCGTCAATATGTCCAACTTTGCTCAAATTTTATACAAGATCAATTCCAAAGAATATAGAGGCTAATAAAAAAAATCAACACGTTAGGGAAAATTCTGCAAGGGGGTAAAAATATAGAATTTGCAGGTGTGAAAGCAAATGTTGCTGCACTAAGGAACCTGGAGGTTCTGAGTCAAGACATAGTCTCCCTCTCCCCAGTTGTGTCTATAGAGTGCCATTATTGGTCCCATGTCCTCATATGTTTGTATTTCCCTCTGTTCTATCTTTTTTCCTTGTAGTAAAATTAGTATACAAGTAAAATTATATATATTTTTCAAGTTTACAACATTATAGTTCAATATTTGTATAACATCTGTTCTTATTCATCAATCCTGCTTTTGTTTTCACATCAACAGCCTGTAATTTCTTTGAAAAAATCGAACACAGGGAAATCCTAATACCAAATAACTCCTAAGTAAACCTTTTTCCATAAAATATAACTGCCAAACCTGGTAAACATTTCACTTACCTGTCTTGTCTTCATCCTCAGAATCAGAATCAAAATATATATCATCATAGTACTTTGTCGAAGCTGTCCCAACTTTCCCATTTCCTGAAGAAGACCCTATTCAAACCACAAGAAAAGTTTACAGACTAAACCTTACATAATTGACAAAAAAAAAAAAAAAATCTCCATATATTCTTCCATCATCTCAAAGTCATATCAACTCATTCCCAAACTCATCTGTGGAAAAATACTTTCGCATCAATGACTTACTGTATTGGTGCCCTATGTAATTACAGAGAACTGTCCCTCCTAATTAAATATTCCAGATCATGAGATTATTTTTCTCTCCCTTCCCACAAATCTAATTAAATAAAACAGACATATTTTCATATTGCCAACATACATCTCTACCTTTTGGCCATGCAGCATACTGTGGAGAACAGGAAATAAATATCTTGCTTTAAAGGGACTTTAGGGGAAAGAGGATAAGAATACCACAGAGAGACAGGGAAGTGACTCAAGGACTCATTTGTGCCTAGTGCTATGACATTACCTATACTTACGGCATCGTATGTCTGCATCCCTAATTCTTCCTCTTACTTAAAATCCACTTTTGCCTTTATTATTATTATCATATACACTTGATTCTTAACAGCTAATACATAGCGTATCAACATGGAAACCAATGCTGAGGAGTCCTTACTATCACAAATTAGTGATTGAGTCCGGTATAGTTTACATAAAGACCAAGTATGAAAATGAAGTATGTTTCATTACTTACTAAAATGAGACAGGAATTTGTGCCGACACATCATTCAACCTGCCATATCAGTCCTATATAACCCTAAATATACTTCTTTTCTTTTTTTTTAATCCTCACCTGAGGACATTTTTGCATTTATCTTCAGATAGAGCAGGAGGGAGAGAGGGAGAAAGAAAGAGAGAGAGAGAGAGAGAGAGAGAGAGAGAGACAGACACATGGGTTGCCACCCACACAACCCAACCAGGGTCAGGACAAACTGCAACCAAGGTAACTGCAACCAAGGTACGTGCTCTTAGCGGGAACCGAACCTGGGACTCTCTGGTACACAGGCCAACGCTCTAACCGCTGAACCAAACTGGACAGGGCCTAAATATCCTTCTATAAGCCTGTGTTTCTCCCCATACTCCCAGAGCAAAAATTACAAAAGGAAATCATGCAAGTAAACAGTACTAAATAATCTCTTTCCAATAACACTGTAAACTTCTTCACTAATTATCAAAGAAAACTGCTCAGGTTGCCAAACACACTTATTCATTCATTCAATAAATATTTATTAAGTACCCACTGAAGGTACTCAATTTGTGCTGGGGACACAAAAGAGTACAAATAAGGTTCTTGCCCATATGGAACTTAGAAAAATATCTAAATTAAAATCAAACTATGCCCTGGCCCGATTGGCTCAGCAGTTAGAGCATCGGCCTGTGGATCAAGAGTCTCGAGTTCAATTCCAGCCAAGGGTCCATACCTTGGTTGCAGTTCGTCCCCAGCTCTGGTCGGGGTCATCCGGGAGGCAATTTGTCTATGAGGATGTGTCTTTCTCTCGTCAATATTTCTCTTTCTTTCTCTCTCTCTCCCACCCTCCCTCCCTCCCTCCCTCTCTCCCTCTCTCCCTCCCATTCTGTCTGAAGATAAATGGAAAAATGTCCTCAGGTGAGGATTTAAAAAAATCTAATTAAAAGTTTACCTGTTTCCAGGGAGGATAATTTGACCTCCATTGTTTTTATGGTGGAATTTAATTCAGCTTCCATTTCTTTTTCAAATTCATCTTCACTAGATGATTCACTTTCTCCAGTAAGACATTCTCTGATGAGTTTTCGTTTTTGGTCAGGAGTTCCATGTAAAAGCACATCCACTTCATCTTCAGAACTAATATACATTTAAATCAAAAAGAATATGAATTATTAAAGAATTAAAATAAGCTATAGCTCCCTTCATCTCGCTGTGCAACAACTTTAAGTTTTATAAGGTTACATTTTATTTATCTGGTATATTACATAGAGCTATTCTCACTTAATAGATTTCTGCACATTTCCAAATATATCTTTTAATGTCTGTATAACATTTCCTCCTGTAAATGCTATACATTTATTTCTAGCTCTTTGCTATTAAGAACTACAACGAACATCTCTGTATATATAATTGTGTTTGTTTATTTTCTTAGGATGACTGTCTAGAATTAGATACACACATCTTTCTGATTTCTTTTTTTTATAGATTTTTTAGGAAGAGAGAGAGATAAAAACATCAATGTGAGAGAGAAACATCAATCGGCAGCCTCCTGCACACCCCCTACTGGGGATTGAGCCCAAAACCCAGGCATGTGCCCTGACAGGGAATCAAAACGGGACCTCTCAGTCCATGAGGCAATGCTCAATCCACTGAGCCACACTGGCCAGGTCATCTTTCTGACTTCTTTTTTTTTTAATCCTCACCCAAGGACATTTTTTCCATTTTTTGTTCAGGTAGAGTGGGAGGGAGAGAGAGAGAGAAACATAGACGTGAAAGGAGCACATCGAGTGGTTGCCACCCACACAACCCAACCAGGGCCGGGGAAAAACTGCAACCGAGGTACGTGCCCTTAGCGGGAACCGAACCCGGGTCTCTCAGGACCGCAGGCCAACGCTCTAACCACTGAACCAAACCGGCCAGGGCGACTTTTTGAACTACCACACTGTTTTCCAGAAGTACTGCACCAATTCCAATTCCATCATCAGCAATAAAATGTTTACTCCACAGCTTTTAAAAACTCTGGACATTTGCCCTGGCCGGTTTGGCTCAGCGGTTAGAGCGTTGGCCTGCGGTCCAGAGAGACCTGGGTTTGGTTCCCGCTAAGGCCATGTACCTTGCTTGCAGTTTGTCCTTGGCCCTGGTTGGGTTGTGCGGGTGGCAGCCACTCGATGTGTCCCTTTCACACTGATGTTTCTCTCTCTCTCTCCCTCCTACTCTATCTGAACAAAAAAAATGGAAAAATGTCCTCAGGTGAGGAAAAAATAAATAAGTAAATAAAATAAAATCAATAACAAAAAAATGTTTAAAACAAATAAAAACTCTGGACATTTTAATAAAACCTAAAACATATATATATCCATATAAAATATAATATATCCACATAAAATGTTAACAGACAATAATTAAACATAATCTATAAGGCACAGAGCTACACAGGACTATAAAGAGAAAGATAAATTATATTCTAAATTCTCCTGAGCAATTTCTGCCAATTTACTTGGCCTTCTGTGCCTGGTTTTCCCTCATCAATAGCAGCATGGCAAAATTTAACCAGATGTCAACAGGACTATCTGAAATACCTAAGACATTTCTAATATAATCAGTAAGTAATATAATACATAAATAATGCTCAATTACTCATGGTCTGATGAATAGTTACAGACTATTCCTAGGGCCCTGGCTGGTTTGGCTCAGCGGTTAGAGCGTCGGCCTGCGGTCCAGAGAGACCCTGGTTCAGTTCCCGCTAAGGGCGCGTACCTCGGTTGCAGTTTGTCCCCAGCCCTGGCTGGCTGTGCAGGTGGCAGCCACTCGATGTGTCCCTTTCACGTCCATGTTTCTCTCTCTCTCTCTCTCTCTCTTTTCTCTCTCTCTCTCCCACTCTGTCTGAACAAAAAATGGAAAAATGTCCTCGGGTGAGGATGAAAAAATAAATAAAGAAAGAACAGACTATTCCTAGGTTTTGATTCTCTATTTCTGTCTTCCAGAACAAAGTTTTTGAGCCTCCACCAGAAGGTAAATCAGAAAAATCCAATTCACAACAATCAATTTTACTACTAACAGAGGCATCCCACCTGACATTCTTCATCCTGACCAGCATGCTTTCTTTCTTCATTACCACTATATTCACTCAGGTCCTCTTAAATTTACACAATACCCTAAAGGTCTCCAGATCTCCAAACTCTTTTCATTCCACCCTTAACCCTGCTGCTAGAATGTCATTCCTAAAGAACTCTCATCGCATCACAACCCCACTCTGAAAGAAATTGTTCACGAACAAACCTCTGAGTACAGCGATCAAAAGAACTTTCCAGCCGGGCCGGTGTGGCTCAGTAGTTTAGCATCAACCCATGCACCAAGAGGTCACCAGTTCGATTCCCGGTCACGGCACATGCCCAGGTTGTGGGTCAAATCCCCAATGGGGGGCATGCAAGGAGGCAGCCAATTGATGTTCTCTCTCATGGGTGTTTCTATCTCTCTCCCTCTTTCTTCCTCTCTCTAAAATCAATAAAGAAAAAAATTTTTTTTAAAGAGAACCTTCCACAATATGGCTTCAACTTATCTTTTCAACCTTGAACTACCTCAGTGGTATTCAACTTCAGGCAATTTTGTCCCCCAGGTAACACAGCATAGTTAGAGACATTTTTTATTGTCACAACTGGAAGGCGGGAGGAGCAGCTACTGGCATCTACATCCTACAATGCACAGGACAGGCCACCTCAACAGAGAATTATCTGACCGAAGATGTCAATGCTGCCAAGGCTGAGAAACTCTGATCTCTATATTCCAGTGTTTCCAAAGTGTGGGACATAAGAGATTATTTTAAGGAGTAGCAGAATAGATGATGGCCCATTAAATAATACTGACCTAATGGGAATGTATAATGGTACAGGCACTATGGAAAACAATTTTGCAGTTTCTTTTAAACTAAACATGCATTTACCATACAACCCAGCAATTGAATTGCTGGGCATTTATCCCAGAGAAATAAAAATTTACATGCACACAAAAACCTATAAATGAATGATTATAGCAGTTTTCTTCATAATAGTCTAAACTGGAAACAACCAGATGTCCTTCAATGAATGAATGGTTAAATGCAGAATATTACTCAGCAATAAAAAAAGAAATGAACTCTTTTTGTCACTGTTATTGTAATATCCACGATTCAAGAATAAATATGTTTCCACTGATTTTCAGAGTGGGGGGGGAGAGGGAGAGAGAGACATCAATTGGTTGCCTTTTTTTAAACCCAGTGAAACTTTATTTACCAAGATGGGACCCAGGGTACTGCTTGCTGACCCCTGACTTAGAGAAGATAAGTTAAGCACTCAACATAATTCTAGACAAACTATAAGCACAATAAATGGTACACAGCATGAAGATGATAACATGACAGTGAAAATGTTGTGCCTCTTGTCAGCACCATTATAGTCTGAGCTGAGAACCAAGGGAAATGAAATCCTGTTCTTTTTCTGACGCTAACAGTTTTAGTCAAGCTCCTGCCCCTGTCTGGACATTCTCTCTGAAGGATGACACCACCAAAGTCAGCATTCCTTCCTGGGGTATCAATATTTTCTCCAGCACTGCAGTGGCCTCCTGTTTCCTTCATGTCCCCAGCTTCACCCAATCCACTTTCTCACTTAAATGTAATTGAGGAATTGCTGGAGGCTCAGAACCGACAACCTTGAGATGCAAAAACCCCAGGAAACCTGGTCCTCTGAGCCCAGACATAGTGAGATGCACCTCCAGGAACTTGACCAGGTCCCTGTGCCTTTTTTAATGGGGATTGAACCTGCAACCCAGGTATGTGCTTTTGACCGGAACTCAAACCCAAGACCCTTCAGTCCACAGGCCAATGCTCCAACGGCTGAGCCAAACCAGCCAGGGCAAGAAATGAACTACTGATACCTACAACAATGGGGGTGAATCTCCAGAGAACTATGCTGAGTAAAAAAAAGCCAATCCCAAAAGGATTACACTTCCATGACAAAATTATAGAAATGGAGAATAGACTAGTGGTTACCAGAGGTTAAGTAGGCATAAGGACAGAAGTGGGGAATATGAAGGATCCTTGTGCTGATGGAAATGTTCTGTAATTTGACTGTATTAATGTCAATAACCCAGTTCTGATATGAACACTTTTGCAATATTAACATTGGGGGCAACTGAGTAAAGGGGACACAATCTATATTATTTCTTACAAATGCATGTGAATCTACATAAAATAAAAAGTTTAATCAAAAAAAGAAACACACTGCCCTGGCTGGTTTGGCTCAGCGGTTAGAGCGTCGGCCTGCGGTCCGGAGAGACCCAGGTTCGGTTCCCGCTGAGGGCATGTACCTCGGTTGCAGTTTGTCCCCGGCCCTGGTCGGTCGTGTGGGTGGCAGCCACTCGATGTGTCCCTTTCATATCGATGTTTCTCTCTCTCTCTCTCTGTTCCTCTCTCTCCCTCCCACTCTACCTGAACAAAAAATAGAAAAAATGTCCTCGGGTGAGGATAAAAAAAATAAAGAAAGAAAGAAACACTGTCCTGGCCGGTTTGGCTCAGCGGTTAGAGTGTTGGCCCGCAGACCAGAGAGTCCCGGGTTCGGTTCCTGCTAAGGGCACGTACCTCAGTTACAGTTCATCCCCGGCCCCAGGCTGGGGTTGTGCAAGTGGCAACCAGTCAATGTGTCTCTCTCACATCGATGTTTCTCTCTCTCTCTCTTTTCCTTCCTCTCTCCCTCCCAGTTTGTCTGAAGATAAATGCAAAAGTGTCCCGGGTGAGGATAAAAAAAAACAAAAACAACCAAACACTGAATCACAAGGCAAGAGAGTTATTTTTTGCAAATTTCTTGTGATTATTTTGAGTCTCAGCATTTAACACTGCCGGGCCCTGCATATTCTTGTCAAGTATGCCAAGAATACAGAGTTCTCAACACTCTTTACCTAGGCCATTTCTCAGGATTGTGTTTGCAGTAAAAAATCTTGATGGATGAGGTTATGTCGTTTTTCAGGACAAAGAGCAGGCTTATTTACTGCCTTCTGTAAAAGGTGGATTCTCCAAGCTCAAGTGGTCCTCAGCCACGAAGCCAAACCACTGAATGCATAGCATCCATCTGGGTCTCTCTCCATGTAACCTCTGTAGAAGTTAGAAAGAGCAACCAATACAAACATATACTCATACTGCCTGCTGTTCTGTAAGTTTTCTATAACCCAGGAGTCTCAGATCTTCTGCCAGCTTCCATGAAACCATTAACAGGCTATAAAATATTACCTGTTAAGTGGGTAAAATCAAATCCTGACAGATACTTTTTTTTTTTTTTTATCCTCACCTGAGGACATTTTTCCATTTTTTGTTCAGGTAGAGTGGGAGGGAGAGAGAGGAACAGAGAGAGAGAGAGAGAAACATCGATGTGAAAGGAACACATCGAGTGGCTGCCACCCACACGACCTACCAGGGCCGGGGACAAACTGCAACCGAGGTATGTGCCCTTAGCGGGAACCGAACCCGGGTCTCTCAGGACCACAGGCCGACGCTCTAACCGCTGAGCCAAACCGGCCAGGGCCAGATGCTTTTTTTTTTAGTGAGGTTTATTCTCTTTTTCATATTTTTTTCTTTTTTATTTTTTAGAGCGAGAAGAAGGGAGAGGGTGAGAGACATAGAAACATCAACATCAGTTGGCTGCCTCCTGCGTAGCCCCTGCTGGGGATCTAGCTCACAACTTGAGCATGTGCCCTGACCAGAATCAGAGCAGTGACCTGTTGGTACACAGGTCGATGCTCAAGCACTGAGCTACACTGGCTGGGCATGACAGATACCTTTTAAACACCTAACACCAATCTCCCTTTTTAAAACAAGCACTCGATTCAGAGCCTCAGGAGGCAATACAGTCTTAAAGCATTGTTTTGTTCTCATAGTATCTTTTTTTGTTCCTTTGCCAGTGACACCTGTCACAGGATAACAAAGCTTTCTTTAACTACAAAAATGTAAATTGACTTAAAGAAAAATGTCAAATAAGTAACACAGGTGAATATGGTGATGGCAACAGCAGAATAACTCAAGTCCAGGAAACACTCCTATATTCCAGTCAAACTGGATTACTAATGGAAGCCTATATATTCCTCCTTTCCACAGACCTGACCCATTAACTGAAACTCTTTTTCACCTGCAATCTTGGAATCCGCCCTCACTCCCCACAACAGAAATCTTCACAGGGGCCTGATCTCCAGGCCTAGGACCCCTCCCCAGGATAATGTGAGGAGATGCTGTGACTGAAAGTAGGGCAGTTGTACAAAAAGCTCAATGGGATAGAATGCTTTAAAGTTTGTAAGTAGAACCTGCTGACAGATTTAAAAATGGCTTAAATTTGCCTGGAAATCGCTTGCCAACATAACTGCAAATTTCTCTTAGGTAGTATTAAGCCCTTCTTTTTGTAAATTCCCACGGAACTTCATCTGTGCCTATCTCAAATCATCGTTTTTTACAATGCTCTTCCGAGATACATACTTATTTCCAAGATACACACATTCCGAAATATGTGTATTACTTCCCCTACTATACCGTAAGCCTGTAGAAAGCAAAAATCTTGACTGATTTCTGCAGCCCAGAGCAAACTCCAAAAAATGCTGTTAAATTATCCCCTTATTTCTGTTTACTTACGGTATATCAAGTCTTCTAGCTGGTCCCTTTACATTAATTCCCACGAGCCTTACAACATACTTATGTGCAGTTGTTATATTTCTTGTTTACAGATGAGAAATCGAGGGTAAGTGACTTGCCTTGGGTCACACCGCTAGCAAGCTGCGGAGGTAGGACTCGACTACACGGCTTTTGAAGACTTACGCGAGGTGCTGGAACTGCCCCCTTCCCCGCGCCGGTTCGGCCCCGCCTCCCCCGCGGCTGCAAGACCTCTCCCGGACTGCCCTCGGCGTCCCACCGGTGACAGCGCGGCGCGACAGGCGCCCGACCCGCTGAGCCGAGGGTCCGCACGGGCCCGGCAGGCGGGGCGAAGGGAGAAGGCGAAGGCCTGGCCGCGGCGCGAAGCCTCGGGGCCGGGCGGAGCGGGGGCCCACCTGCTCAAAGCCGGCTCCTCGTCACTAGGCTCTTCAACTGCGTAGGGGTCATAGTCATCGTGGAGCCGGTTCATGGTGGCCTCCGCCTGCGACACCGTCCACAGGCGCCGGCAGAGTATCTGCTTCCTCCGCGGGTCCTCTCCCGAAGGCTTTGCGGCCTCCACTTCCGCCCGCACTTCCGCTCCGCCCCCTGCGCGCCTGCGCAGATTGTCCCAGAGGTGGTGCAGGGAGCGGGTGTGTCCAGCCACTGCCCGCAGTCGCTGCAGTTTACCTGGAAACAGCGACCTTATTACCGGATATAGTAATCCGCACCCTCGTAAGTGGCGGCGTCTGAGCCGTCAGTCCACGAGCAGTGTCTCATTTCGTGTTGTGAAAAGCAGAAACGTAGATGCTGAGGGACGTGCAGCCCGTAAGTCCTCACACACCTGGCCACCGACGTCCCTCCAACCTCTTCGCCTCAAGCCATTCTACCTTCTTTTCATCGCGCCGCTGCCTCGTCTTCACAGTATTCACTCCTGTCTGACGGCGGCCCTGACTTTCCACCAATTTGCTGCTAGACTGTCACCAATTACTTCCCAATGGCCTTTTTGGGGCCTCTTCTCTGTCCCAGCCTTTGATCAGCCCTAGTCCGATTCCACTCTGTACTTGAGCTGAGGCAGATGACTGACAGCCTCTTGATTGTGACACATTTTGTCCTGTTTCTATACCAACCTATACTCAAGTTCCTGCCTCCTGGACAACCCCTCTCCCCTCCAACACACTTCATAATCCCATTCAGATGACTACCCTTCTTATTTGGATCCTTGCCCTCTCCTCCAATACTATGTGGGATTTGCAACTGCCTGGCTAATTAATTATCTCTGCATGCTGCACCACTGGCCATTCAAAGTCAACATAGCTCAAATCCAACTCAACATTTTCCACCCCATTCCTATATTTCAGCCAATAGCTACTATTTTTCATTTTTGTATTTATTATAGAGAGGAAGGGGAGAAAGAGATTTGTTTATTGTTCCATTTATTTATGCAGTCATTGGTGGATTTCATGTATGTGCCCTGCTGAGAATTGAACCCACAACCTTGGTGTATCCACATGACTCCCTAACCCTTGACTGGGAATGAAACCCATGACTGTTTGGTCCCCTCTAACCACTGATCCAAACCGGTCAGGGCAAGGAGTATATACATTTAAGAAGAAATTTTGGCCCTGGCCAGTTTGGCTCAGCGGTTAGAGCGTCGGCCTGTGGTCCGGAGAGACCCGGGTTCGGTTCCCGCTAGGGCGCGTGCTTCGGTTGCAGTTTTTCCCCAGCACAATGCGGGTGGCAGCCACTCGATGTGTCCCTTCACGTCGATATCTCTCTCTCCCTCCCACTCTATCTGTACAAAAAATGGAAAAATATCCTCGGGTGAGGATTAAAAAAAAAAAAGAAGAAGAAGAAATTTTGCTGGGCTGGTGTGGCTCAATGGATTGAGCATCATCTCATGGACTGAGAGGTCCCTGTTCAATTCCCAGTTAGGGTACATACCCTGATTGCTGGCTCTGATCCCCAGAGGGGAACGTGCAGGAGGCAGCCCATAGCTGTTTCTATCTCTCGCTCTTATTCTCTAAAAAAATCAATAAAGCCCTGGCCGGTTTGGCTCAGCGGTTGGAGCGTCGGCCTGCGGTCCAGAGAGACTCGGGTTCGGTTCCTGCTAAGGGCATGTACCTCAGTTGCAGTTTGTCCCCGGACCTGCTTGGGTCGTGAGGGTGGCAGCCACTCAATGTGTCCCTTTCACGTCGATGTTTCTCTCTCTCTCTCCCTCTCTCTCCTTCCCACTCTATCTGAACAAAAAATGGGAAAATGTCCTTGGATGAGGATAAAAATAAATAAATAAATAAATAAATAAATAAATAAATAAATAAATAAATAACTACAAACAACCCAGCTGTTGTGGTTCAGTGGTTGAGTGTGGACCCATGCACCAAGAGGTTGCGCTTTTGATTCTTGATCAGGGCACATGCCCAGGTTGTGGGCCCAATCCCTAGTGGGGGGCATGCAGGAGGCAGCCAATCCATATTCTAATCCACAGGCCTTTTATTAACATTCCACCAGCTTTCCCAATAATGTCCTTAACTTCAAGATAATGTGTTGTATTCAGCGCATGTCTTTTTAGACTTCTTTAATCTGGAAAAGTTCCTGAGTCTTTGTATCACATAGCACTGGACACTGTTGAATGCACAGACTTAGAGAATGCCCCTGAATTTGGTTTTGTCTAATTATTCGGTTTAGATTATGCACTTTTGGCAGGAATACCACAAAAGCGATGCTCATGTCTTCTCACTGCATCACGTCGACAATCACATGCCATTTATAACTTTGATAGGTTGGTTAAAGTGAGATCTGCAGGTTTGTAGGTGACCAAGTTACTATTTTACACATTGGAATTAAGAAGTGTTCTGCAGACACCAATGATGAATCCACAGAAAGAGAAACTGAAAAAACAATCCCATTTACCATCGCGCCAAAAAAATTAAGATACCTAGGAATAAACTTAACCAAAGAAGTAAAGGACCTATTTGCAGAAAACTACAGGACATTGAAAAAAGAAATAGAGGAAGATATTAAAAAGTGGAAGCACATACCTTGTTCATGGATTGGAAGAATTAACATCATTAAAATGTCCATACTACCCAAAGCAATCTATAGATTCAATGCAATCCCCATCAAAATACCAACGACATATTTCACAGAACTAGAACAAATACTTCAAAAGTTCATATGGAACAAAAAAAAGTCCCCGAATAGCCACAGCAATTTTGAAAAAGAAGGACAAAGTAGGTGGGATCACAATACCAGATATCAGGTTATACTACAAAGCGACTGTAATCAAAACAGCCTGGTACTGGCACAATAACAGGCATATAGACCAGTGGAACAGAACTGAAAACCCAGAAATGGACCCAAGGCAATATGCTCAATTAATATTTGACAAAGGTGGCAAGAGCATACAGTGGAGTAAGGACAGCCTCTTTAATAAATGGTGTTGGGAAAATTGGACAGCTACATGCAAAAAAATAAAACTAGACTATCAACTTACACCATACACAAAAGTAAACTCAAAATGGATGAAAGACTTAATTGTGACCCGTGAAACCATAAAAATTCTAGAAGAAAATGTAGGCAACAAAATTTCAGACATCATACAGAGCAGAATTTTCACTGATACATCACCTAAGGCAACAGAAACAAAGGAGAAAATGAACACATGGGACTACATCAAACTCAAAAGCTTCTGCACAGCAAAAGAAACAATTGTCAAAATGGAAAGGCAACCCACTATATGGGAGAACATAATTGCCAATGATATATCAGATAAACAGTTAATTTCCAATATATAGAGAGTGCTCATACAACTCAACAAAAGGAAGACAAAGAACCCAGTTAGAAAATGGGCAGAGGAGCTGAATAGACACCTCTCCAAACAGGACATACAAATGGCCAAGAGACATATGAAGAAATGCTCAACAAAACTAATCAGAGAGATGCAAATTAAACAACAATGAGGTATCACCTCACATCTGTCAGAATGGCCGCCATCAACAAATCATCAAACAACAAGTGTTGGCGAGGGTGTAGAGAAAAGGGGACTCTAATACACTGCTGGTGGGAATGCAGACTGGTGCAGCCACTATGGAACACAATATGGTGTTACCTCAAAAAATTAAAAATTGAACTTCCATTTGACCCAGTGATCCCGCTTCTAGGAATATACCCTAAGAAGCCTAAAACACCAATCAGGAAGAATATATGTACCCCCATGTTCATAGCAGCACTATTTACAATAGCTAAGATCTGGAAACAGCCCAAGTGTCCATCAGTAGATGAATGGGTAAAAAAGCAGTGGTACATATATACAATGGAGTACTATGCAGCTGTAAGAAAGAAAGATCTCTTATCCTTTGAGACAACATGGAGGGACCTGGAAAGTATTATCCTAAGTGAAATAAGCCAAGCAGAAAAAGACAAATACCACATGATCTCACTTATATACGGAATATAATGAACATAACAGTCTGAGGAATATGGTAGACCCAGAAACATGGAAGTAGGGCACAGACCGACATCCCTCAAAAGAGGGGGTGGTGGGTGTGGAAAGAGATAAACCACAGAACTTATATGCATGTACGCATAACCAATAGACATGGACAACAAAGCTGGGGACAGGGCTGGGGTGGGGTGGGGAGGGGTTGCCAATGGGGTAAAAAAAAGAGAAATATCTATAACAAAAAAATAAATAATTTTTTTAAAAAACCACAATACTGATTGGAAAAAAAAAAAAAAGCGTTCTGCAGGGATTGTATAAATATCTCATCACTCAGTCACCACTGTCCAGTGTGGTAGCCACTAGCCAGCCTCATGTGGCTCTCAAACACTTGAAATGTGGGTAGGGCAACAAGGGAACTGAGTTTTTAATTTTTTTTTTTTTTAAGGATTTCCTTCTTTTAAATTGGTTTTGAGAGAGAGAGGAAGGGCAGAAGGACAGAGAGAAAAACACTGATGTGAGAGCAAAGCATCCTGCACAACCCCTCCTAGGGATCAAGCCCACAACCCAGGCATATGCCCTGACCAGGAGTTGACCAGCAGCCTTAGATACTGGGGAATCCCCACCACCACCCCACTGCCCCAACAAATGAGCTGCAGCAGCCAGTGCTACTTTACTTTTTAATTAACAGAAATTAAAATTTTACATAGTTGCACACAGCTGATGGTCACAGTGTTTGGCATTTTAGTGTCATACAGTTGTTAGCATCTATTCGTGATTTTTGCCTGAATCAAATAGGATGATGAGCCCATTTGGTGTGGCTCAGTGGTTGAGCATCGACCCATGAACCAAGAGGTGACCAGTTCGATTTCCGGTCAGGGCACATGCTCAGGTTATCGGGCAGATCCTCAGTGGGGGGCATGCAGGAGGTGGCCAGTGGATGTTCTCTCTCTTCAAGGTTTCTATCTCTCTCTCCCTCTCCCTTCCTCTCTAAAATCAATAAAGACAAAAAAAATTAAAAGAAAATAATACAATAATTATCAACAATAATAATACAAGAATAAAGTCTATGTTTCATGTACTCACACCTGTGTAAACCTGCTTCTGCCCCACCCTGTACTTAAATTTGTTTTTA